GAAAGCATCAATCTCGAGGATCCCTTGGCCATCGATCAGCTCATCCACCAAGTCAGTGCAACTCCTGGTTGCTGCATCCATGGATCCCTTGAATGTGGACCTTGGTCAGCGTGGTCCCGCATGAACCTGGCCACTAAGCCGGGATACCTTGAAAAGCACTTCAGGGGGGTGAAGTAAGTTTCGAGTGGCCAAGAGACGCTGCTGGTTGGTCTTTGCCTGAGATCATTGCTTTTGGTGACCAATTCAATCTTCTCACCGTTGAGTTCCACGGATGCGCTTTCGGACTTGTGTCTTCCAGAGCTGGCCCAACGCTGAAGCCTTGGAAGATATTGACTAGTAGTAAGCGTTTGGCACATGACTTTGCGGCTTATCAGTGTTCACATCCTAAGCACTTCAAGCATGATACCGTTGAAGGTTCTGACTCAAGACGCTCAGCCTTTTACCCTGAGGCCATGGCCAGAGCAATTTTAGCGTCTTTGTTTCCTTATGCGAAAGCATTTGTTGCACCAGCGTTGCCATGTGTGCCCACTTTTCCTCAACTTCACAGGGTTAAGGACGTTCGGCCGCCACTACCGCTCGATCTCCTGATGTTTGAGTCTGGTATGCGCCACATCCGAATCCCTGGTTATGTCCATCGGCTGTTGGATCGAAGGGAATGGACTTCCCAGCCTGCTGCGCTTGAAAAGGTCCAAGAAGAAAAGGATGGTCTTTTAAAGGCAGGTACCTGGATAGAAGAAGAGATCATGCCGAAGAGTGAGGTTCTTGCATGGGCTCGCAGGACTTCCAATGTGATCCACTTCGGAAACTTGATGGTCATCATGAGTGTGAAAGGCGCCGAACTATAGAACCTGATTCTTGGAAGCTTAAGGCGCGTATCGTCTTTCGTGGAGACGATATACGTGACCAGACTGGAATGTCTGCTGTGTTCGAAGAACTCTTCGCGTCTGCCCCTTCTTCGCTTGAGGGACTGAACACGGTCATTGGATTTGGTCTCCTCGAATCTCATGGTGTGACAACTAGCGACGCCATTAAGGCGTATACACAAGCAACCTTGAAGAGCAGAAACCGAACTTTCGTCTTCTTGCCACCAGAACTCGTCCCAGCTTCCAAGAGAGACGTAATTTAGCCCTGTGCACCGCTCTACAAGGCCTTGTATGGACATCCTGAGTCATCAGCGCATTGGCAAAGGCATTTGCATGGCATTCTCACTGGTCTTGGTGGAATTGAATTCCCCAACCTTCCTTCTGTGTATTATTTCCCCACCTTGGATCTGATCTTGTGCGTCTATGTTGACGACCTCACGTTGAGCGGGAAGTTGTCGAAGCATAAAGGTTTCTGGAGTTCCTTGTCGAAACAAGTTGACCTCGAGCCTTATGCTCCTCTCACCAGAGTGCTTGGTCGCAGTCACCGCCACGTCTTGTGTGACAGTCAACCAGCCCTTGCGTTGGAAACTGAAGACTTCGCCAAACAGTGTGTTGACTTGTATGAATCCTTGGTTGGTTCCGCTGTTAAGCACCAGAGGACCCCGCATGTTGACCCAGGAGCTCTATCACTAAGTGATAATGATGCTCGGGGTTCTCTTGCCGACAGCGCCGCCCGCATCCTGATGAAGATTCTGTGGCTTGCACGTTTGAATCGCCCAGATCTTATGGTGGCCGTCACTACCCTCACGACCAATGTCTGTCGTTGGTCAGTGAACGATGATAAAAGGGTTGCTACGTTGGTGGGTTACATTGCTGCGACGGTTCAATACAGCCCTGTGATGTTTGTCCACGACCCAGCTTCATCTTTGCACCTTGCCCTGTATGTGGATTCAGATTTCGGCGGCTGTCCTGACACCGCGCGTCCCACAAGTGGGTATATCGTTGCCCTTGAAGGAAGCAACTCATTTGCTCTTCTGTCATGGTCCAGCAAGAGACAGAAAGTGGTCTCAAGGAGCTCTACCGAGGCAGAATTCGTGTCCTTGAGCAGTGCGCTGTTCAATGATGCCTTGCCATTACTTGAAGTTTGGCAAACCATAATCCCTGGCATTAAGCTCTTGTGTCAAGATAATGAAGCTTGCATTGCCATTGTCCGTATATTCAGCTAAGCTGAGGCATTTGTCTAAAACTCATCGCATCAACGTTTCTTCTACGTGCGAAGCTGTGAACGATAACGATGATGTTGAACTGGGCTATGTCAATACTAATGACCAGAAAGGTGATCCTTTGACGAAGGCTCTTTCGGTTCAGAAGTGGGCTCATGCACTGAAGTTGCTCCACATCTCCACTGAGCATCTGCCAGATGCTCCCGTCTAAGCATGCTCTTCCCTGTCACCTAAAGTCTTGTGAAAATTCCTTGGGTGATATGTTTGTGATGGTTGTCAAGCTGCATCTGCGCTACCTCCATCATCGTGCTTTTGCAGACACTTGGATATGAGCCATCATCCCTGTGTCATCTGAATGAGTTCTTGAGGATCTCATTCTGCACTTCTTGCCTGCCCTCAGCCTTGCACTGCGTTGTGTCAGTGTACGGCTGCTCCCAAGCGCCGCTCTGACTTCGTCTGAGCAGAGTCCTGCACCGGTTGAGAGTAGTTTTGTATAGATTGCAAGTAGAATTACCTTAAAGGTTTATTGAGTCTGAGTTTCAGCCTGATCACCTGAGATACCGGATTCAATTTGTACATGGCTAAGCCTGTACTACAATCGACAGTAGGTTTGGCTGCAGAGTTGAACTCGTGGCTGTAGCTTCCTGGAGTCCTGAATCGAGCTTCAAATGAGCTCTACGATTCGGAAGTCTGCGAACATGAAGGGGGGAGTTGTGAATTTACGGGTTTCCTCCTTGTATAGTCATGTTATGCAGATAGGAACTTAAACCTGCTGGTGATCCATTTTTGGCTCAAGGAAAATGAGCCACTGTAACAGTGGCCAGAGTGCAGGGTTGAGGGCTACTTCGCTTTGCGGTTCTTCCTCTTGCTGCCTTGTCCCCTTAAACCAAGCATTAGAGGTTTGATCCGTTCAACTGGTGCCCCTCTAATCTTGATTGGCGACGCCGCGTAAGTGGGCAGGGGTAGAGCTGCGGGAAGAGCACGTGACTATTAGCTGGAAGTGTATCAGATAGTAGAAGCAGAAGGCAGTGTGCGCGTGAGGCTTGCAGCTGCGACTCTGTGACTTCCAAATCTGGGGTCGAAAAATCTAGGCAATTCTGGCTTCGTGTGTGTGTGGGCCTCCCCTGTAGTAGAGACCTCTAACCTTCACACTTGCCGCTTGGTTGGACCGTCAACCCTGGAGTCTCCCAACTTTTTGCGCCTGGCACCTTCAGCTTACGGTTGCCCGGAATTGCCAAGTGGGGGCAGGGCCAAAACCTGCTTGCCAAAGTTGATAAGCGAGTTGAAAGGGGTTGGTTCCGGAAGCCTTCGAAGCCCTTGAAGGGGCTTCGAAGGCTTCGAAGGGGGGCTTCAAGGGCTTGAAGGGCTTCGAAGCGGGGGGGGGGGCGAAGGGCGGCTTCAAGGGCTTCGAAGGTGAGGCGAGGGCGGGTCTGCGCCCCCAAACCCCCCCCCAGATTATTCCTTTTCAGGAAAGAGGATGCGCCCTAACTCTCGCTCTCATTCTTTTCTTCTCTACTTTTCGACTCGTCTTGTTGGCATGGCCGAGGATGAGTTTTGAAGCACTTGGAACTGCTTGAGAGCAGTAGTGAAGAAGTGCGTGTCAGAACTCTGAGGTTCTGTCTTGTTGCAACTCACTCCGTGTTCCTGCCACTTCGTTCGTTGCCGTTGGACGTGTAGGATGCGCCGACCTTGCTGACAGCCTCAGTCGAGGTTAATGACCCCTTTCTTCTGGGCTTCCCGGAATCTGCGCGCTGCTTCACTTCATGGTCGGCACGACCCACAACACCCTTGGAAGGGGACTCACACTGGCTGGCGTCTGCTTGAAGAATGCTGGCCCTGCTCCTGAAAAACTTTAGTGGCCACGACAAGCGTTCAGTCCTTCTCTCTTTCTGTCCGGGTGCTTCTGCGGCCCTGCTCTGTCTGAAGCACCGATATCTTTCATGCCTGCGTGTGAAGAAAAGATGCGTGCAGTTTCTTCTTGACGTGTGCTTCTAGGAACATTCGTAACGGACCAGTGCTGGGAGTGAACCCGCACAGTTTTCGTGACGTTGCGCCAGAAGGTTTATTCCTTACAGTCGTGTTGATGTTGTGGAAAGTCTTATCAACACATATCAAGACTGGGTGGCGAAGCTCCTTGCGCTCCAATGCAGTTTTGGGCGGGCTCCGGAGTCGGCTTCGGGTGGGCTTGGGCCTCGCGCTCTCCACGCGGTTTGGGGGGACTCCGCGTGGGCTCCGCTTCTTTGCGGAAGGGGTTCGGGGTTGCGATGACGGAATTCCTGAACTTGCGTAAGGTGACAGCTAGCCACTCTTCAACAAACATTGCGTTGTTGACTGCAAGTAACATGTGTTAATGTCATGAAGGAGGAGAGCACGCTGGAAAGGAACTTCCACTTCGCCTACTTACTTGCCATTCACGAGAACGTGCCTTTGGAAGTCAGACGTGCAAAACCTTTTTTCCCAAAGGCAGTACTGAACTGGGCCAATTCAGTGAAGGAGTTGGTGTGCGTGAGCTCGTCATGTGTTATGTGCCGTGCGGAGAAATCGGGCAGTGTTGTTTGCCAAGGTTCGCGTGTCTCCACCAGTGACCCCCAAAATGGATGTGTTTAGTAGGGATTTTGATCCATAGCCATTAAACAGAGTGTAGTTCATTCTGGTGAATGCAACTGACCGAAATTGAGATCTCGCAAAACTGTTTGAAAGCGCGATTTCCAGATTTCACTTTGCAAGATAATACTTCAGGGTTGTGTGTGTGTGTGTGTGTGTGTGCGTGCGCGTACAGGAGTATTTCTGCGAGTTATAAAGATCGTTTGCAAGTCCTCTTGGAGAAACCGTTTCAAGCAGTTTTTCATTTGTCTTCGACTTGCAGCTCAAGGGCCTTCCGAGAAGGTGAGCACGGTGAAACCATCGACCAGTCATGGTGGAAGCCGATGTCATCATTGCTGGCGCCGGTGCTGCTGGCATGAACGCCGCATCCATCTTGCGCAAAGCTGGAAAGACGGTGGTGGTGCTGGAATCCCGCGGCCGTTTGGGTGGCCGAATCTTCAGTCACCAGCTGGAGTCAGGCACTCACGTGGAGCTGGGTGCACAGTGGCAGGCAGAAGCCGGGCATGATCGCTTGGACCAGTTGGTGAAGACTTATGGATACAGGAAGCTTGAGCACTTCAAGGCCGGCAAAGATGTGGTATGGAAGGATGGGCCAAAGCCGTCGCTCCAATCTCCGGGCAACTCTGGGGTTGGATGCTTCTCTGGCCTCGACTTCATGATGAGATTTTGGCGTCTGAGTCGAATGACCAAGAGGATTTCGCTCAGCGGCTTTCAGCAAGGCCTTGAAGAGATTGACAATCGGAGTGTGGGTCATTACCTGGAGAAGAACTGCTGGACCAATGGCGCCAACACTCTAGCTCAGTCAATCATGAAGGGCGGTTTTTGCCGCGACCCAAAAGATATTTCAATCTATGCTGCTGGACACACCATGAAAACCTTTGGATCATTGGAACAGCAGGAGAAGGCAGAGACGTTCTTCTTTGATCAAGGGCTTCAAAACATATTTGCAAAGATGGCAGAGGAACTTCAGGATGGCGTTCAGCTCAACTCGCGTGTCGTGGAAGTAGATAGTGCTGGAGATAAGGTGGTGGTCAAAGCCAGCACCGGCGCGGTGTATACGGCCAAAGAGTTGATCTTGGCATTCCCTCCCCAACTTCTTGGGCGAATCCGTTTCCAGCCACCCCTGCCCAGCAATTACACTGAAGTGGCTTCCTCCATGGTGTTTGGCCAGGTGCTGAAACTCATCGCAGTTTTTCCCACGCCCTGGTGGCGTACTCGTGGTCTGACGGGTTCAGTGTCATCTCTTGGCAGTCGACCCCAAGCTCAAGGGCAAGAAGGTCAGGGCTTGGTGCTGGACGTGTCCGAAGTGGCGGATTTGAGCCACTCCACGGGGAACGGCGTGCTGGCAGGCTTTGTTGTGGGCGCCCAAGCTCAAGAAGTGTGCGAGAGGCCCGCGGAGGAGCTGAAAAAGGGCTTTGCTGACTTCCTTCGTGCATCTTACGGGTCACTCGAGGAAGAGATACAATCATTTCATTATCACAACTGGATTAGCGACGAAGACTCACTGGGTGCGTATATGTCTACTCCTGGCCTGGGTCAATGGAAGAAGATGCCGGATGGCTTTTTCCCCAAGACCGGAAGGATTAGCTTTGCCGGGACAGAGTACGCTCACCACTGGCGCGGCTACATGGAGGGAGCTTTAGAGTCCGGGGAGCGGGCTGCTCATGCAGTGCTGTCTGCCTTGACCTCCAATTCTTAAACCTCTCGGCTGCGTCCTGGGCTCGAAGATGTCGCCTGTGGAGATGTTCGGTGTGGCCACAGGCGGGGTTAACAGATCCCTTTGCCGCTGCGTCAGTGAAAATTCTGCGTGGCAGTCCCACTCATGCTTTCCGGCTGCGTCTTAGCCAGCTACCCTGGCGTCCGAGGGCCGTGACAAACCTTGGCATTTGATGGCGGGCGCACAAGAAGTTTTACTTCATGGAGCTTCATGGTGCTTTGATTTGTGATAGGCCTTCTCGGGGTAATGACATTCAGTCCATTCTGCTTTTGTTTGCTGTTGGGGTTGTCCATGTGGCGTTATGACGTTCAAGTCAGTGCACTCTTGTTTCCCGGGGGGTTCTGATTCGGCGCAAGTGCATACAATAGTGCTCAGTTATTTGGGCTTTCGTTTGTTGATGTCGTTTCCTGTGGGGAACAGAATTCTTTCCGCTTTTGTTACTATGCCGCTTCGCTTCACTAACGGGATGGTGAACCTTGAGTTCGCTGCGCTTCAATCCGCCAAGGGGGAGTAACTTTCAGTTCAAGGTGCTTTGGTTGAAGGAATTCCAATATTCCCTTCGCTTCATGTTTGTTTACTGATTGGGTTTCCTGGGGGAGCAAATCGTGTTCCGTTCATTGCGCTGTTGTTTATTGCGTGAGGTGGTTGACAATGCAAATGCCATGGGCCATTTTCATTGCGCGTTCTGTTTGCTGGCAGGGTCAACATTCAGTTGACTGGACTTAGGTTTGACAGTCGTTTTTGCGGCAGGGCGCTAGCAAGTGTTTCGCCAGTTTTGATGGCCTGAAGGGATTTGGTATGTTCACTCACATGTTTCGGGGAATTACCAGCTTCAGCTCATAGTCCGAGCACCCTGAGCCCGGGACCCTTGATAGTCCGCCACCCCAGAAACGGCATGAGCAGTTCCGCAGTCTACGCCACGGCCACCTACCTAGTAGGTTCCATTGAGCCTACAGTCCCCTGAGCCCTATCCCGAATTCATGTTGCGAATTCTCAATTAGAGAGGCGAACTAATTCCTCCGAGCCTCCAACATGCCCCCCTTCCAGTTTTATCTTGCTGTCGACAGTAGCGTACAGCAAGGCAAGCCGAAGCTTGCTAGTTTCAATCCTAATCATCCCACTAGCTGGTTTCCTTCCATGTTGAACATCCGTACATCTCATGTGTCTTGAATTTTTTTGAATTGCAGCATGAAGGATGCTCGAGTGGGAACGCAGTCTGCTTCCTCTTCGGCCTCCAGCTTCTTGACCAGAATGTGAAGTAGAAGGCAGGCATTAGAATGAGCAGGTAGGCCGCTGAGAGCCTCCGCCCTTGTTGATGTCGACTTGTCGGGACTTAGGGGCCGCTAACGCAGCTTCTTGAGCCGGAGCGAACAGATCCCCAAACCCCAAACCCCAAACCCTAAGCCCTAAGCCCTAAGCCCTAAGCCCTAAGCCCTAAGCCCTAAGCCCTAAGCCCTAAGCCCTAAACCCTAAACCATCCAAAATCTAAACCGAGCTTCCCATGATCCTTTGGGTCTAGTCGGTAAATGCGAACAGAATTTGCATCACTGACGTGCATCCCTGCCTTGGGGCAGCCTCTGCCTCTGAAAAAGCAGAGCCGGAGATGCTAACCGGGAGATATCTCCTCTCAGCGCTTCATGGCTGGCGAAGCTTTTTCTCCTTTTCCTGGCAAGCGCTCCCAGATTCATCTGTGGAGTTTTGCCGAGCGCATTTGCTGGAGAATGACGGCTGCTGCCTGGATGAGCAATGCGACCCATCTGTGGTGCAACGGAACGTCAGGCGACCCGGGGCCTCCTGGGAGTGTATTGCTGCCCAGGGCTGCCTCTCAGAACCAGGTTTTCGAGGGGATGATATGCTGTCAATTCCTGCAGATCCTGTTTGTGATTGTCGCATCCTCTTCCTCCATGGAGGTAGTTGGTACCATGGCTCCCCAAACAGCACCGGGTATGCTGCGCTGGCGTCCAAGCTGGCAGCCAGGACCCGCTGCGTCGTCATGATGCCAGACTTCGCATTGTTGCCAGTCGGCAACTTCGACTCCATGCTCAAGGCATCGGTGGAGGCCCTCCAGTGGCTAGGCAATCATGTTCTGGAAGAGTGCGAGGCCAAACCTCCCGTGCGGCTTTATGTGGCTTGGCACAGGAAGTTGGCAAATTTTCCCGAGAAACAAAGCCAGAGCAAGAGCGCTTTCCAAAAAACAAGTAGACTAGAGGCCTGTCTTTGTGAGGTTGGTGGAGACTCCAGCGGCGCCACCACGGCGCTTAGCCTGATCCTTCACTTGGGGCAGCAGCCGGACCTGATTCCAAGGGCCTGCCAGCTCGAGGGGGGCTTCCTGTGGAGCCCATGGACCAACCTGTGCCTTGGCTCCAAGAAGGTATGCCGCCCACATCCGCCCACTCTGCTCAGGCAAGATTGTCAGCCATTGTCAGCCGCATTGAGCGAAGCTGAGGCTGTGTGACACGCCGGACTACTTCACCAATGCTTACTCCATGATCTTCAACTCATCCTCTGATGCATCATCTTCAGAACATCGGGGAGATATCTTGTTCAAGAGCCCGCCAGCCATGAATATGGCTGAGTTCCGCGACGTAGCTTTGCAGTATGTGGGTGGGCAGAGGGGTTTGCTGGTAGACCCAATTGCCTCACCTTTCCACGCAGACGCCAGCCTTCTTGCAACAGTGCCACCGCTATATTTCCTTGTGGGTTCGGAAGAGACCTTGCTCGGAGACAGTGTCATTCTGGCTCAGAAGGCTGCCGCATATGGTGCGCCTATTGTTGTTGATGTTTACCACAACATGTGGCATGATTTCCCGATGTACTCTGAAGGCTGTGGTTCCGGCAGAGAGCTTTGGCTAGCAAAGAAGGCTTGGGAGAATACGGCTGAGTTCATCCAATCAGCGCAGGGAACGCAAGGTTCGAATGGGTGGCCTCTCCTACGATACGTCTATGATGAGTCGCCGCAGGGCAGGAACGCGTGGTTTGCACCACACCAGCCACTCAGGCTACCTCACGGTCAGCTCCAGTCTGTTTCAGGGACTCCATTAAGTCTTTCATCTTTCCTTTATGGCGTGGTCGTCGGAGTGGTCCTTGCAAGTTGCATTTATGCAGCTGTGCAGTCCGCACTCAACAGACAGCAACAGCTTCGACAAAGCCAGCGAGCTGTGCCAGTAAGACTTGAGATGACGACCAGACGCGACTTCAACCAGTGAAGACAAGCTCTTTGACTTCTTTGGCTTCTTTGACTTGTTTCTTTCCCATCAGCAGCTTTCAGGGCTGATTTTCGTGCAGTGCTGATCTGCCTGCCATAGGCCTCGGACCGCACCATGCTGCTCCGTGCTGAGCATTCTTGCCGACCGCAAAAGTCTGCACGTTTTCTCCTGAAGCCCACCTAGACAATCCTAGACACATGCAACTCGTGTTTCCAGCGAAGTCCGTGAAGGACCCGTCTTTGAGAGAGTAGAGTGACTGGTCTTGCCTCAGCCATGCAAGTAATTAGAAATCAGTCATAATCAGTCCATCGCTGGACTTGCACTTCTGGTTCACAACTAAAGGTGGAGTTCATTGATGGTGGTTTGACTGCGTTGCGTTCGAGGTTCTGTGCACGATGAAGCCTTGTTGACACACTGTGCTCTCATGCGGAAAGCAACCGTACACCTAGACGGCGTCATGGATGGAAGCATGTTGACATCCTCTTCAGATGGAACGTACAGCCGTAGTCGAGAACGGCAATGCGGCTTGGTAGCAAAAATGTTCGGGGTCAATATCCCAGTTATCCTCGCGCTTGGCAGCGGCTGCACTGCTTTTGCAACCCTTCTCAAACACTTCATGGAACGGATGCGCTGTTTTGGGCAATGCAACCTGAGTTTCTTCGTGGTTCGTGGTGCATGCGACCAAAAATAGCATCCCAATCCGCTGGGTCCATGTCGATGACACCTCCGATGATTTTCCAACCCTTAGCCATATTCTTAGACGGGCCTGCCATTTTACTTCTAACAACACAATAATCATATTCTCCATATGATATTATCCATCCTTGTCCAGTTTAGAATCCTCCTCCACCTTATACAATGTATACAATTCGATTGTAGGGGGGTTGGGGGTTCGGGCGAGCGTAAAAGAAGCACCGCGCCGCGAAGCCGCAAAGCGTCATAAACGAGACAAGCGTCTCAAGCGTCTCAAGCGTCACAGGCGTCACAGGCGTTTCAAACTTTGACAGGCTCAGAGGCTTTTAAGCTTCGCGCGCGTCCTCATGCGCCTCAGGCGTCTCAAGCGTGTGAAGCGTCCCAAAGCGTCTCAAGCGCCTCAGGCGTCTCAAGCGTCTCAAGCGCCTCAAGCGTCTCAAGCGCCTCAAGCGTTTCAAGCGCCTCAAGCGTCTCAAGCGTCTCAAGCGTCTCAAGCGTCAAGCGCCTCAAGCGCCTCAAGCGTCTCAAGCGTCTCGAGCATCTCAACTTATTGCTCCTACTCAACACCGCAAGTTTCGGAAATGAGTGCTTCATCTTGAAATTTAGGGTTTAGGGTCGCTCAAAAGACCCCAAATTTCAAAAACATGCTCCCAATTGTACCTGTACACCATACAAAACATGCGCGCCAGATACACTCATGTTTATTCATTCAACACCGCAAGTTTCGGAAATGAGTGCTTCATCTTGAAATTTAGGGTTGAGCGTCGCTCAAAAGACCCCAAGCAGCAAAAACATGCTTCTAAGTGTACCTGTACACTATACAAAACATGAGCGCCACATACAAGCATGTTTCATTCACTCAACACCGCAAGTTTCGGAAATGAGTGCTTCATCTTGAAATTTAGGGTTTAGAGTCGCTCAAAGGACCCCATGCTCCCAATTGTACCTGTACACCATACAAAACATGCGCGCCAGATACACTCATGTTTATTCATGCAACACCGCAGGTTTCGGAAATGAGTGCTTCATCTTGAAATTTAGGGTTTAGGGTCGCTCAAAGGACCCCTAGCGGCAAAAACATGC